TAGGGACATCGCCGGAGAGAGAGAGAGAGAGAGAGAGATAAATGTTTGGTTTGTGTGTTCTGTGGGTGACTTTACTTCTGGTCGGAGAACGAGAGATATGTGTATTTGTAATAGACTTATGGAATGGGATCGTACTGCGAATTTCATATTATTATTTTTGTTATTTTGATGGAGCTGTAAATTATATGCAAAATAAATAAATACTTTATTACTGTGTATACTTGCTTATACACGTTGATGATTTTTTTTTATTGTCTTGCATGTGTATATATTGTTACATTACGTATGTTTCTGTGAGAAGTCCATATGTATACAGTATACGTACATATATATATATATACACGAGTATTGTTCTGCCATAAATATAAATTCCAGATTGGTATCTGCTCATTTGTAGTTTATGCATGGATTTCCGTAAAACATACGGTATTTGATTGAGAAACTACAATGATAAAATATTAGGGGAGTCTCAGTCTAGTGGTTAGTGGCAACTCTCATTTGTCAAGAGATTTTTGTTTCGAAACCTAGATATGGAAACTCCTCTTAAACCGGTCAGTTTTACGATGTTGGTTCACCTACTCTGCGTGGTTTGTCGGTTATTACGCAGGACGGTGAGATTTTTCAGATCCACGATGTTATCCTGATGTTGATGGAGTGAAAGACATTGCAGTATCCAGTATCCGACTCGAAATGATGTAGAATAGGGTTTCTATAGCAACAAAAAACTATAAATATGTTATTAGTTTTAAAAAATTGTAAATTTAGTTATATTATTTAATGAAATTCACGGGCCGATTATTTGGTGCATTGGATTTGGAATTGTAAATATAGCAGTGTTGATAGCAGTAGTAGTTGTTTATTTCGAGAACGTGGGAGTTTGGAAGGATTACATTCTTTTTAGGGTAAAATCCCTAAAAAACCTCCAACTTGCAAAAATATATACAAATAAACCTTCAACTTGAAAAACTGTCATTCAATCCCCGAACTTGTAACTTGTCACTGAATAAAACCTCGAACTTGCAAATTATTGCTCTAATAAATCTTTGACCGCTTTGACCACAATTTCAAACGATCCAAAATCCACGTATTAACGGATTGCTGATGTCAATTTTTAAATTAAAATTGATAACGTGTATAAGGTGACATCAGCAATCCGTTAATACGTGGATTTCCGATCGTCTGAAATTGTGGTCAAACCGGTCAAAGGTTTATTAGAGCAATAATTTACAAGTTCGAGGTTTCATTCAGTGACAAGTTACAAGTTCGGAGATTGAATGACAGTATTTCAAGTTGAAGGTTTATTTGTATATATTTTTGCAAGTTGGAGGTTTTTTAGGGGTTTTACCCTTCTTTTTAATTATATTACACTGCCATCAATTTTATGCATAGCTTTCTTTCTTTTTTTATATACATTGGGAAGCTCGGTCCTAGCTGCAGTCCTTCGGTCTCGCTAACTCCCTGTCACAGCGGTGGCCCTTCAGGCGCACAGAACCGAGTAAACTCAAGTTCATACACACGAGCCTGCAACACACGTGTAGAAGGTGAATCAACCGTAATTGACAGGTGATAAGTGAACGGCTAGAGTCAAACCCCCAACCTCTCAGTATAGGGGACATGTTTATTGCCAACCCAACCGGGGTTTCCCCAAATTTTATGCATAGTTCATTGGACTAATTTTGTTTTGTTTTTTTTTTCCATAGAAGATGCATGACAAATTATTTTCTTTTTTCTGTTGATAAATTATTTTCCAAAATGCCAATTCAAACATCTCAAAGTTATTTTTTTGAAATTTGTTGTATTATACATTTCATATTAAGATAGAAAACTTTTGAGTTTATATATTATTATAATTGTTTATTTCTATTTGTTCGTTATTTTTTTATAAAATTAGAAATTTTACTCAAACAGATAGATAAAGTTATCTGTTCAAATTAATTTCGTTAATTACAGCAACAACTATTCATATATAGTTTGGCATATCCAATTGTACCATATTATTTTTTTATAACTAGGAGATTGAATGAGTTTTTCATAAGTAGAATTGAACCTAATACTTTTAAATAACTTTATTATCTCTCGACCAATAGACCATCAACTAATAGATAATTAATTGCATTATATTGCTATATATATATATATATATATATATTAATTACGGCGTCGAGAAGGAAATATTTGTGTAAGACGACACTTAGCATTACAATGAGAAAAACATATATACTCGAATTAAAGAAAAATGGTAACATAGCTTTTCTCTTACTTGCATGACAAAACTTTTCTTTTGCCCATTATATAGTCCTCGCAATTTAAACACAAAATTCACCTTTTTCATGCGATTAGTTACTCTTTTGTGTTTTATTATTGTCTCCAAAAGAATTTCAAAGTATAATTTAGTTTGCGTTATTTTAATAAAATTTGGAAATATGGTTTAATATTCTAGATATGTGTGTGTAAAAATGATCCTCGATTGTTTTAACTAATTAATAATGAAAAAAGAAAACAATTATTTGGAGTTTGGTTGAAAAGGCAACGTTAGGCACGCGATCGCGGTAGTGAAAGCTGCTCGGAAATATAAACAACAACATCAAATAACATATATATCATTTGAAATTCCATATATATATATATATATGTATGAATGTATATGCATATTTGTGTATCTAACGAACAATCGCTGAGTTAAAGGAGTAATAGACATTGTACAACTACATAATTTATATATTTAATTTTCATGTGTTTTTAAAAAATTGGATATTTTGTGTATGAATATACGCTTAATATTTTCACCACGTTAAAGAGGAAAATAAAAAGGGCAAATCCCAATGAACAAAAAGAAAGAAAGTGAAAGTCTTTCTTTTTCCTCTTTATATGAGGCCAGTCAGTAAAATTATTGAATATCATTGATACCCAACTTGCTTTTATATATATATATATGAAATATAAAGCATAAACTGATCTTTTTTTAGGACTTCAAAAATAATCAGATCAATATTATATTTTAAAGGATAAAATCTATAAAAAAAAATTGAAATCATATAATAGTAGAAAATTAATCTCTAAATTTTTCGTTCGAAAAAATTTATTTTAAAATTTTGTAAAATATGTTATTATAATTTATAAACTTATAAAATATGTTATTATAATTTATAAACTTATAAAATATGTTATTATACTTTTTAAACTGATTTATAAATCAATAATGTCGAGATTTTTTATAATACTAATTCATTAACAAGTTTAAAAATTATAATTACATATTTTATAAATTTGGGAATAAATTTATTAAGCCAAAAACTTAGAAATCAATTTTCAACCATTTTGTAAGTTAATAATTTTTATTCTTTTTATCCATAAAATAAATAATATGTATATTTATTTACAATAACTGATTCTTTAGGATTGCGACGAATGGGAGTGTGAAATTACGAGTATGTCCTTTTAAGGGGGCAAAGAAAACAAAGGCTTCTCTCAGTAGTGAAGAAACAGATCATGAGAAAGATGTCATATGTTCTTTCATAAGTCGTGTCTGTTTTCCTACAAATAAATAAAACATCTGATGAGAACCAAAACATTTCTCTGCAACAAACAAACAAAAGAGGGGAATCAAATCAATATGCTTCTATTGTAGATTGATCATCTTTCTTTAACATTTCTTCTCATAAGACAGTTTCAGCTTCAAAGTTTGTTCCCAGATGACAGATATGATTAAGCGTGGAGGGTCGTAACCTTCTTAGCCAACGCATCAACCGCCTCATTGTTTGATTCCCCATTCTGCAGTTTCAGACACGAACAAACCCGACTTTTCACATAACGAACTTCGATTCATTGGATAACATCACTTCTTCACAGTTTCTGTCATATGTGTGGAGACATGCCCAAAGTTGGCGCTAATGCAACCTCCCAAATCCTAGTTTCTACTGGTTAAAGAGTTACCTCGGAAATGTTTCTTGGTTTAAGGCCGATGCATTTGGAGGCGCTGATGCTAGCGCTCTTCAGTAAGCTACGTGCATTGTAGCCTCCTCCTGAGTTGTTGAACCTCTCCTCTTGTTCCGACTTCTTCGGGCTCTTGAGGGTCGTTGCCACTGATTCAGAAGTTCTCCTCTCAAATTCTATGTTTGCCATTGTATTCTCTTCCTTAGGAGCAATAACCCGCTCTCTGAAAACACAGGAACCGGTTATTGTCATCTCAGATCGGGGTGATGCATATCCTATGAAGGATTCTGACGTAAATTCTTCTCTTTCTATAACAGCTTGAATAGAATAACCCGGTTGTAAGCGTAATGATCATAGATCCCATACTTATAACACTTTTTCCAGGGAAAAAGCAGAAAAGAAGACAAGAATGGATTTGGTATACCTTGGCAATGAAGCATGTTGGCGTTGGAGGGGAGAGCTTCTTTCGCCCTTTCCGTAATGTTCTTCGAGATGTGCAAATTGTCTCTTAAACCGATCAACACCACTGCATCATATGATTGGTTTATAAAAAATTCAATCATGAATTCTTGTAATGTGTTTTTCAATCTTACAATTGAAAACAGTCGAAGCAAATTGATATTACAATACCTTGGATACATGAAGCTGGTCTGTTCTCCACCTCGAAGATACTCTTGCAGCATCTGAGGATGATACTCTAAGATCTGCATCATGGCATATCAGAATGTTTGTGTTTTTTTAGCTTTTAAGATTCAGCATTTATACCAATAAGCAGACACAAAACAGTAAACTCAAAAGGCTTCACCGTTTTAAGCTCTCCAAATGAATTCAAAGAAGAAAGTGTACCTCTCTGTAGATCAACTCTCTAACGTCTTCTTTCGTGAGTTTCCTTCTCTCGAACTCAAACTCGAGTTTCGGGATCGGTTGAGTTGATGGCTCCCGTTCCACATTTGCCAGACCATAGAAATAGGGATCTGACAGTGCCTGTGAAAACACCATATATGCGCACATTCATTTGGTTTCATATTTTCTTTTGGGTTTGATTACTAAATATCATAAACAAACATAAGCATTGCACGAACATCGTGTTTTCCAGAGTTTCTCATATAATCAATCACAGTCGTTTATATTGTAGAAAAAATTTAAAACTTTTTAGGCAACCAAAGGTATATATGTAAGGAAAAAAGCTTACTTCTTCGGCTGTGGGACGATCTTTGGGGTCAAATGCAAGCAGACGCTCCAGCAAGCGAAGGGCCAAAGGATTTACATTTGGGAATTTTTGAGAGAAAGGAATCGGTGGTTTCCTCCTCATGTTTCCGAGATATCTTCTAGCTTTTTCATTACGAATCTGCCAGATGCAAAATATTGATTGTTGTTACCGAGATAAAACTGAATACAATATCATAGATTATCATGGGCCCGAACCAATTGTCATAAACTAATCAGTAGAATCCGTATTTAGTTAACATGGGTTCCCAATGAACTACACTTTGGATGCAATGCCCACAACAGACCCTTTTTGTCTATCCAAGTCATCTCATCCATGCAATTCCGATACCACTTGATAAATGACTAAACCTCGTGTACAAAGCTAAATAGTATTAACTACTCTCGCATTTATCTATGATGCTCTGGCCTAAATGGACAGCACCTTCCTCAAGGTTGGGCTTCAGACATAAGAAAAGAATCCAACATGTGCTAGAGCAACACCATTGGGAGGAACTAACCCTTTAAAACTAACAGGGAGAAGAAGTCTATAGCTTTTTTACGCACGAACAAAGAAAGCGAAATTTAGATCATACCAAGAAAAAGTATGAGAGTTGTTAAACTGAGTAATGCAACTAACCCTTGAAATAGCCTCATGTGAAGGAGTACCGAGCGAATCAGTCATAAGATCCAATTGGTGCACCACGTTTTTCCCAGGAAACAGCGGTTTCCCCGTGAGCATTTCCGCAAATATGCATCCTATGCTCCATATATCAATGGCAGGAGTATACTGCATCAAAGAATGAGACACATTAGACAGCTTATCCTCGGAACCTAAACAGACAGAGTCAACATTTGAACACACACACAAAGGCAAACAGAACTAGATTACTTTGGAGAAGAATGAACCGCAGAGCTCTGGAGCACGATACCATCTTGTAGCGACATAGTCCTGCAAGGAACAGCAACAATTGCTACCGACGATAAATAACGTTAACAGATAATAAAAGTGATGGATTTCAATCTGTCACATACAGTCCAGAATATAGCAGAAGGTGCATCATTGAAGGACACTCGAGCAAGCCCAAAATCACAGATCTTCAATTTGCAATCAGCATTAGCCAGAATGTTTTTCGGCTTCAGATCACGATGAAACACGTTTGCTGCAACAACAACAAAAAAAGCATTTGATCTTCAAATCTTGTGGAGAAAGTGAGGAGAATTACAGCATCGAGAGAGAAACTTGCCAGTGTGTATGTATTTTAGACCGCGAAGAAGCTGGTAGAGGAAAAACTGATAATGCTCAGGGGTCAGATCATCGTTTGCCTTGATAACTTGGTGAAGATCAGACTCCATCAACTCAAAGACGACGTAAATGTCTCTGAATTCCCGACGTGAAGGAGGGAGCATAATGTGCTTTATCTCCACTATATCAGGATGCCGTAGTAACCTCAGGAGCTTTATCTCTCTCAGAATACGTGTTGCATCAGAGACATGCTCAAACACGTCGTTGATTTTCTTTATAGCAACCCTTTCGCCCGTATGCATGTCTATTGCCGAAGCCACAACCCCATAACTCCCTTTCCCGATAACCTCTTGGATTTGGTATCGGCTGGCCTCGCCATATTCCGTGAAGAACTCTGTCTCTAACGCAACCTGCGGGAACAAGCGGTATTCCGTTCGTCCAACATGAGAACCAGAAAAGGCATGAATTGGCTATTTTCAGAGCTCAGATGGACAAAAGCATGATCAAGAACATAACATTTCTTCAACAAAGACATTCCAGATAAGCATGACATTGACATGGTGTTTGCATTTGAGAAACAGAGCATGGCCAATAAGAAGGCCATCTGACAAGACATTTCCCATGTTTTCTCTTCATCCATTCAATTGGCTTCAACCAAGTGATTGAATGGTCAATACCAAGTCAGAGAATTTAAACAAAAGGACAAGCAAGCTAGTCAAAAAAATTGAAGAGGGAAAACAAAATCATAATTACAGAAGACAACAAAAGAGATGAGGTCAAATCCATCCTAAACATGATTCAAAAGAAAAGGGTCGAATCCAGAAGCTCTTTATAACACCCTTTTCGGTTCATAATGGATACAAACGAACCTTCTTATGATGATCCATGGGAAGGAAATTCCTTCTGGGAACCCTAATGCCCTTCAAAGCAGAGAGATCAAGAGCTGCAACAATGGCGACCCTCTTGGCTTCTGCTCCTTCGTCTTCCTCCTCCTCTTCTTCGTCTTCCTCCTCCTCCTCCTCGCGATTTCTGTAAATGGTTGTAAGCTGAGCCCGCAAATCGCTGACAGATGAGGAACGAGTGCTGCTAACAGAGTGACGTGCGCTGTCAATCAGATGATTGGCATTCCCATAAGAAGGATGGTTAGAGTTCGTGCTATGGCTACCACCCATCAAACACCTCCTCCACCACTTTTTTTTTCCCTAATTTTTTATGAGATAACAATAATAATAATCGAGAACAATTATTATTATTATTATTATTAGTAAATGTTTAATTACAGCCCACGAATCTCAGGCATGGCGTGCTTCTCTCACTATCGCGTAGTCGCCATGTTTTCCTTCCTTGTTCTTCTGCGCGTGAGCTATTTTTTTTTTTTTGTATAAACGTTGGCCTGCTTTGTGTTTGGTTGTCTCTATCCGAAGGTTGCGGAGGATGAAGAAGGGAGCTAGAAAAGGGAACGTGACACGTGACTCGCACGTGATGCGCGTGAAGTGTTTGGTTGGCTGTTTACAACCTAACATTGTTTTTTTTAAATAAAAAAAAGATACTGCAACTTTAAGAAAAAAAAATATTAAAATTTATTTTTATTAGATAAAGATTAAACTTTTTAAATGAATCTAAAAATACTGAACTTTTTAAATAATTCAAAAAATATATGAATTTTTCTACGATTATAAAAAAAACATTGAACTTTTTTAGTGATAAAAAAAATATATGAACGTTCGATTGTAAAAAAAACTAAGTAAAATAATTCGATGTCACGTTATTCATTTTGTTTATTTTGACAATTGTAGAAGAGTTAAGTGTTTATTTTGTCAAACTTAAAAATTTAATGTTTATTTGATAAAATAAAAAGTTTAATATTTTTTTGTCAAAATTAGAAAATTTAATATTTTTTGGGATTTTTCTTTTTTTTTTAAGAATTTCCTTTTCTACCGCTTTTTCCAATTGCAGATATTTTTAACAACTACAAATATAATGCAGTGTTTATGAATATTAAAATGTATTATTATTTTTAGGGAGAATTGATTTTTATGAATTAAAAAATACTATATAAATACACTAACTTTGAAATTCTTATACAAATATATAAACTTTGTAAATATGATCATAAATCTATAAGCAAAATTATTTTTTTTATAAAAAAAATATGGTTTATAGATATATTTGCAAAATTTATATATTTTTATAAAAAAAATTTAAAAGTTTGTGTATTTATTTAAATTGTTTTAAAAAATTCATATTTTTTAAACAATTCTCCTGTATTTTTTAATTGATAAACTCGTATATATGGATTACGGATAATTAAGAAATTCGACGTAAATTCTTCATTTCGTTAAAATTTATCATGCAAATGTCTCAACTATTATTTTAATTCTTTTTAAATTATTAATTATTCCTTAATTCCAAATCGATAGCTTAAAATATATAAACTTTGTAAATATTATCATAAATCTATAAACAAAATTATTTTTATATAAAAAAATATGGTTTATTAAATTATTTGCAAACAAACTCATTATGAAGCAAACTCATATATCTAGTCTGCTTGAGACAAGCGCATGAACTCACGAACTGACTCGCAAATCAATAAAAAAACATATAATAAAGTCAAAATTAATTGATCCTAATTCAAATATATAATAGAAAAGACAAACTATTTAGAAAATTAATAATTTTTGTTTTTAAAAAATTATTTTAGGTCTAAATTGAATCCAAAACACAATTTTTTTTGAAAGTATATAAGTTTTATGAAACTAAAATTACCAAACTAAAAAAAAATAACCGAATCAAAATATTACATATCAATCTATCTATTAAAAATCACACGTGGAGGGGGACAAAACAAAACATGAATATAGTTTTAAGTATACAAAATAAAATGATGGTGAGATGGTGGGGGTCCATATATGTTCATACATACAGAGAAGGGGTCTGCGTGCGACATTTGCGATGTCATTGGCCCCCATGTAACATCTATGCACGTTTCAAAATATAATCAAATTAATTGGCGAATAATAATAATAATAATAATAATAATAATCGAATGAAGCGCAAAATAATAAAAATATAGTGGTCGTCGTCGTCGCTTGCTGGGGAACAGGCCCAGTCGATCCAACTTGGCAGGCCTATTTATTAGGCCCATTGATATTTATAATCCTTCTAAGCTTATAGTTTGAGCCCATTATGTGTGAAGAGGAGAGGACGTTTTGTTTAAAAACATTTAATTTAATAATGGAAAATCTTATACATAAATAATTGAGGCTTAAAGAAATGATGACACATCAACATCCAATATGTCAATTTTTTAAATTTTGATTTGTTTATAAACTAATGATGAAATAGATAATTATGAAAAATGATACGTCATCATCTAACATGTTAATTTTTTAAATTTTGATTCATCTATAAACTATAAATTTTATACTGTACAACTTTTTACAAAAACAAAATTACTGTAATTTTTTATGAATTATTTATTATTAATTCATTAAGTATTAATAGTTGTTTTGAATAATAAATAGAACTATATACGACTATATATATATATATATATATATATTGACATTCTCATTATGTTATCATAAATAGCATAGATTTTGATCAAAATAACGGCTTTGATTTTAAATAATTATTAATTCTACGACAAACACGATTGAAATAACGTTATAGGAGGAAGTAGTTTTTTTTTTTTGATAACGGAGCGTCCTTGACCGAAGCCCAGACTAATCTCCGGACCGAGAGCAAGCCATGTATTTTGAAATATTCGCTCCCCTCCCCACCCTGGGACTCAAACTTGGAACGGAGTGCTTTGCACCCCCGTTTCACCAGTTGAACTACCCGGGATGGGTTAGGAGAAAGTAGTTATGTCGAACGCCATATTGATTCTCCACTACTCATCACATTTATTATTTCTCTTTTTCTAATTATTTTTATTCTGTTCAATTGATTCTATTTAATTCATACACTCAAACATCGTATTCCTAGATTGTTAATTGAATACAATGAAATTATGTTCAAACAATTATCTTAATTAAATAAAACTCATGTGAAAAGTAACATGTTTATGTAACATTTCAATAAGTTACTTGTTTCATTTAATTAAATAACCTAAAAACTATGGCTATATATAGTCATCATTTGGTGGAGTTTGTATCATCATCAAACATTCATCTATCCATTATAAAGAAAAGAGAAAAACATTTTTGAATAAGAGTAAGTGTTTTTCCCAAGGATCTCGAGAACATTTTATCTTAATCCGAAGCAACTTTGTGTTGGGATAAATATACTCTTTAAAAGCATCTAACTCGTCTCTCGAGACTTCCCACAACTTAGTGTGTCATCCGTGTGCGGTTATCAATTTCTTTTCTCTCTGAAGTTATTTTCCCTATTATCCCTAACAATCAAATAATATATTTTTAAGATAATTTTGGAAGGTTCAACATACAATGTCATGAACCAAGAGTTTGTGAAGTTCAATCATTTTGATGGAACAGATTTCAATCGGTGGAAGGATAAGTTGCTCTTTCTTCTCACCATCCTTAAGGTGGCATATGTCTTAGATCTTTACACAAAACCCGTGGAGGAACCCACCTCGAATGCTACTCCAGATGATATCGCAAAGACAAGAACTGAAGAAGAAAAGGGAAGATGATGAGTTTACATGTCGAGGACATATTCTCAACACCCTCTCCGATAGGTTGTATTATCTTTACATGTCGATCAAGTCCCAGGTGGAAATTTGGAAAACTTTGGAAGAGAAATATAATACCGAGAGACAAGGTACCGATAAATTCATCATGCTAAAATATTTTGAATTCAAATTTCTCAATTCTCAACCCCTCATGAATCAAGTTCATGAATTACAAGTTTTTGTAGACTTAGTGATCTTAAAGTTTGTGATTCCTGAGACGTTACAAGTAGGAGTCATTCTCTCCAAATTGCTTTCTACTTGGAATGATTATCGGAACACTACAAAAAACACTCATATTTCCGACGGAAATATCCGTCTCACGAAAGAGGAAATTCCGTCGGTATTTTTAGTTTGCGACGGACATCGACGGAATAAGTTCCGTCCGTTAATGGTTGTCGCAAACACATCCCGGTCGTGCATCCGTCGCATATTTGCGACGGAAACAGCCGTCGTAAGTCAGTCGTTTTTTACGACGGAATATTCCGCCGGGAAAAGCGACGGACTAACCGTCGCAATCTAGTCGATATGCCCGACGAAAACTCCGTCGTTTTTCCATGGTAAACGCGACGGAAATTCCGTCGTTCAGTCGTCGCTCT